GGGGAAGGAGTACTATGCTCAGGAGGAAGAGGGTACTGTGCTGGAGGGGGCATTGTGCCTGGGGCGGGGGGTAGGGGGCACTGTTCTCAGAGACGGTCTTGGGCCTGTGCCTGACTCATAGGTGAGGTTGAGAGCAAAGGCCGGGGCAGTACGGAGGGCCCTGATTCTGATGGTGACATTTGAGATGGTGATGGTACAGAGGGCTGGGTACAGATGGTTAAGCACAGAGGGATGGGGACAGAGGGGTGTGGACAGAGGGTTAAGTACAGAGGGGTGGGGACAGAGGGGTGGGTACACCAATACACAGTGCCCCCTACTTCGTGACAGATGTTCCCCAAGGAGCACTAAGATTGGAGGGAGCAGCAAGAATGGAGGTACAGCCAAGTGAATGGGAAATATTCCTTGAAAATCTTTCACAGCATTCCACATCTACCCCATCGGCAGTGGGACATGGGCAGGACTGTCACTGTTGTGTTCCTGCTGGCTTGGACTGGAAGGACACGCAGTGGGCCCTGACCTCAGACACACATCACTTCCTGGGGTAACATCAGCAAAACAGGCTGACCCCTCCTTAAGAAAGGGCACCATTTAGAGCTTTGAATCAGTTAAACTATCCAATTCGCTGAAGATGAAAGAGGCCGTTGAGACCACGGCAACATGGTTATGGTGCAGTTGCCATAGTGAGCATACTCATGGCCAGGAATTACCTTCCTTCTTTCTGACCGTTCCTGCTCTTCCTTCTGGAAGTGTCTCTCTCGTTCCAGTCTTTGTTTCTCTGCCTCCTCACGTGCTCGAGCCTCTGCCTCTTCTCTCTGAGGACAGGAGGATCGGTGATGTTAATTCCTCCCAGGTGAATGGCTTCAGTGTCCTCCTGTACCCTTACGATTCGCTGGGATTACAGCAAACCCATCATTAATTCCCCTCCCCTCTCCTGCTCGCATTACACTTGAGTCTAAGTGACCTGTGAGAATGTTACCTCCTGACAGTTGCACGTCCTACTCAGTGATGTATTGGTCAGTGTCGACCACAAAGTGATAACAGCCAGCTCCTGCTCAAGAGGCAAGATGACCCATTAAATTATTAAACTGAGATTTTCGAGTCGAGCTGGGGGCTTTTGATTGACACTGACCAGCTGAGGCCCCCAGCAGCGACGTGGAGGCAGCAGCACAGTTTGCAGCCAATTTTTTTTTCTTATCCTCTTGACAAGTCAGAAGGAAATGGGAGGGCTCCCTCTCCCAGCCCCTCAAACAAGTCACCTCTAGTGATCAGCCACCACCAAATTCCACCGAGACCACGATCCAGAGCTTGTTGGCCTGCCATCTCTTCCCAATCCCCTCCTGACCTCTCAATACCAGCCCATAACCAGCAACCAGTGCTGAATCTGCTCTGCCTGCGAAGACCCTCCTAAGCAATCCATCACCGTCAGCTCCAGCCTTGGCATTTTCCAACCATCACCTCAATCTGGCTGGCTGCAAGACAGGAAACAGCGAGCCTCTGTGTTCATGTCATTCCCCTTCCCCACTCTGCCTCGGTCAATATTATGGACACAGGGGTCAGATCGAGCTGGGTTCTGACCCCTGTCTAACCAGGTGTAACATATTCTTTCTAGTTTCCTCACCTCCCTTCCCTAAGGACATTGTGGGCCAAACCTACAGCACATGGACTGCAGTGGTTCAAGAAGGAAACTCACTGCCACCTTCTCAGGGGTAACTAGGGACAGGCAATAAATACTGGTCCAGAGAGTGATGGTCACATCCCATGATTGAATAAAACGGAGTGACAGAGACATACAGTCATACAGCATGGAAACCGACCTCTCGGTCCAACTCGTCCATGCCAACCAGGTTTCCCAAACTAAATTACTCCCATTTGCCTGCATTTGGCCCATATCCCTCCAAACCTTTCCTACTGACGTACCCATCCAAATGTCTTTTAAATGTTGTAACTGTAGCTGCAAATGAGGTTGTAGACATGCTCATTGAGCTGGTGGGTTTGGTTGCAAACATTTCATCACCCTGCTAGGTAACATCGTCAGTGCGCCTCCGGTGAAGCGTTCTGTCCCAGGCTTGTTATTTATGTGCCTCGGTTTGCTGGGGTGGTCGGTATTACTTCCAGTTCTGTTTCTCAGTGGTTGTTGATGGAGTTCCAGTTGGAATGCCAGGCCTCCAGGAATTCGCTGGTGTGTCTCTGTTTGGCTTGTGTGATTATGGGTGTGTTGTCCCCGTCAAATTCGCGTCCCCGTTGTCCATGTGTAGTGAGACAAGTGAGAATTGGTCGTGTTTCTTAGTGGCTAGTTGGTGCTCGTATATCCGTATGGTCAGTTTTCTTCTGGTCTGGCCTGTATAGTGTTTCTCACAAGGACTGTATACATGATGCATGGATACATGAACACCAATTAGCCACCAAGAGACACGCCCAAATCTCACTTGTCTCACCACACACGGACAATGAGGAACATGAATTTGACGGGGACAACACACCCAAAATCGCACTAGCAAACAGAGACATGCCAGGGAATTCCTGGAGGCCTGGCATTCTAACCAGAACTCCATTAACAAACACATTGAATTAGACCCTGTGTACAATCCACTGAGAAACAGAACTGGAAGTAATACCAAACACCCCAGCAAACAGAGGCATATAAATAACAAGCGCGGGACAGAACACCAACGCTTCACCAGAGGCTCACTCATAACGTTACCCAGCAGGGTGACAAAACGTTTGCAACCAAACCCACCGGCTTGGCGAGCATGTCTATAACCTCATCCACAACCTGAGCCACAAATCTTCTCGAAAACTTTATGTACCTGCATCTACTACTTCCTCTGGCAGTTCATTCCACATATGAACCACCCTCTGCATGAAAATGTTGCCTCTCAGGTCCCTTTTATAGTGTCATAGAGTCATACAGCACTGAAATAGAATCTTCCATCCAAACAGTCTATGTCAACCATAATCCCAAACTAAACTAGTCCCACCTGCCTGCTCCTGGCCCATATCCCTCCAAATCTTTCCTATTCATGTACTTAACCAAATGTCTTTTAAACATTGTAATTGTACCCACATACACCACTTTGTCAGGAAGTTCAATCCACATGTGAACCACCCTTGTGTAAAAAATTTGTCCCTCATGTTGTTTTTAAATCTTTCTCCTCTCACCTTAAAAATGTGTCCCCTAGTTTTGAAATCCCCCATTCTAGGGAAAAGACAACTACCATTAACACTAGCTACATTCCTCATTATTTTATAAACTCTATAAGGCCACCTCTCAACCACCTATGTTCCAGTGAAAAAAGTTCCAGCCTATCCAGCCTCTCCTTGTAACTCAAACCCTCCATTCCCAGCAACATCCTGATAAATCTCTTCTGAACCCTTTCTAGCTTAATAATATCCTTCAAGTAATAGGGCGACCAGAACTGGACACAGTATTCCAGAAGAGGCCTCACCAACGTCCTGTATGACCTCAACATGATTTCCCAACTCCTATGCTCAAAGGACTGAGCAACGAAGGCAAGCGTGCTAAACGCCTTCTTAACCACCCTGTCTATATGTCAAAGAATTATGCACCTGAACCACTAGATCCCCCTGTTCTACAACACTACTTAAGGTCAGAAGACCAAAAGACACAGGAGGAGAAATTAGGCCATTCAGCCCATCGAGTCTGCTCCACCATTCAATCATGTCTGATAAGTTTGTCAAACCCACTCTCCCACCTTCTCACCATAACCTTTGATCCCCTTAACAATCAAGAACCTATCTATCTCTGTCTTAAATATACTCAATGAGCTGGCCTTTATATCTGCTTCAGAGACCGAAATCACTGAGGAACATACTGACGTTCTCCCAACGCTCTGTCTTCCCAGCCGTGTTCCAGACATAGTTGCTTATTTGGCTCTCACTTTCCCATTTTCTGCTCAGTCAGAAACAGAACTAATTCTGACTTTGAACTCTAAACTAATGCAGCACCAGAGGATTCAGGAACGGACAGAGGTGGAGAGTGCGGGGCTGGGGTTTATCCTGAATGCCATGCTGGAACTCCTAACCTGTTTCTGTAGGCGGTCCGTTTCCTCCCGCTCAGCTTCAGCCACTTTCCGCTGACACTCCTCTTCCTCGAGACGCTGCTCTTCTTCACGTTTCTGACGTTCCTCTTCAAGGCGAAGAGCCTCAGCCATGCGCTGGGCTCTCTCCTCGGCCTTTCTGCGGGCAATTTCCTCCTTCATCTGCCTACAG